CTGATAATTCTTTTTTTAAGGAGGCTAGGACAGGACCACAATCCCTTCTAGCTTGCAGAGTTTATTCTGAAAAATCTACTGTTAATATGATAGGTTTTCTTTTAAAGGTTATTTGATGGTTTTGCCTCAGAGCTCTTACGATTTTTTCCTTCATCTTGCATTTAGATAACTTGGTGATTATGTGCCTAGATGATAATCATTTTGCAATGAATTGCCTGGGCACTTTGAGCTTTTTGTATTTGGATATCTACATCTCTAGCAAAGCCAAGGAAGTTTTCCGCAATTATTCCCTCAAGGATGTTTTCCAGACTTTTAGATTTCTCTTTTTCCTCCGGAGCACCAATTATTCTTAGGTTTGGTCATTTAACATAATCCCAAACTTGTTGGAGATTTTGTTCATTTTTTCTTTGTCTTTGTCAGATTGGGTTCTTTTTATTTTGTCTTTGTTGGATTCAGTTAATCAAAAAGCTTTGTCTTCAAGCTCTGAAGTTCTTTCTCCTAGTTATTTATTTCCATTGCTGAGACATTCTAGAATATTTTGCAATTCTCTGATGTGTGTCCTTCATTTCTAGAAGCTGTGATTGTTTTTTATTTATGCTATCTATTTCTCTGGAGTTTTTTTTTTTTTTTTTTTTTTTTGTCCATATCCTGTATTTTTTTTTATTTCTTTAAGTTGGTATTTACCTTTCTCTGGTGCTTTTTGAGTAGTTTAATAGATCTTCTGAATTCTTTTTCTGAAAATTCAGGGAGTTGTTCTTGGTTTGAATCCATTGCTGGTGAGCTAGTGTGATCTTTTCTATGTGTTATATAACCTTGTTTTGTCATATTACTATAATTGCTTTTCTGGTTCCTTCTCAGGTGGGTAGAATATGTCAGAGAGAAGATCTGGGGCTCAAGAGCTATTGTTCAGATTCTTTTGTTACATGGGGTATTCCCTTTTTGTAATGCTCTCCCCCTTCCCCTAGGGATGGAGTTTCCTAAAATCTGAACTGCAGTGATCGTTATTTCTCTTCTGGGTCTAGCCACTCAGTCAGGCTAAAGGACTTCTGGTTGGTACTGGGGAGTGTCTGCAAAGAGTCCTGTGATGTGATATTTCTTCAGGTCTCTCAGCCATGGATACCAGTGCCTGCTCCAGTTGAGGTAGCAGGGGAGTGAAATGGACTCTGTGGAGGTCCTTGGCTTTATGTTTGCTTAGTGAGCTAGTTTTGTGCTTGTTGGCCTCCAGCCAGGAGGTGGTGCTTTCAAGAGAACATCAGCTGTGGTAATGTAGAGAGGACACAAGCTTGCCCTAGGATCACCTGGATAAGTATTCTGGTTTCTCAGGCAGTGGCCAGTGCCATAGAGCTCCCAAGAGACTATGTCCTTTATTTCCAGCTACCAGGGTGAGTAGAGAAAGACCATCAGATGGGGGCAGGGTTAGGCATGTTTGAGCTCAGACTCTCCTTTGGTGGGGCTTGCTGTGGATGCTGTGGGGGATGGGGGTGTAGTTCTGAGGCCAAGGGAGTTATGTTCCCAGGGGACTCTTGGTTGCTTCTGCTGCTTCATACAGGTCACTAGGAGAGTGGGGAAAAGCCACCAATTACAGGCGTCACCCAGCTTCCATGCAGCCCAGAAGGCCAGTCTCACTGCCATCATGTCCCCCCAGCAGCACCTAGTTTATTTCCAGGCAGCCAGTGAGCAGGGCTGAAAACTTGCCCCAAGATACAAGGCTCCCCTCTGAGAAAGCAAGCTGGGCTTTCAGGTTTCATGCCTCCCTGCCTGCTGCAGTTTCCGTGCTTGTATCTGCACTCCCTGTTCACCTCCTCCCCTGGATTCTGTCTAGAAAACTTCATGTTTGCTCAAAGTTGTTACAAACTTTAGCTGGAAGTTTTCTTCTCCCTGTGGTTTTTCCTCAGTTTCACTGGCTGGAAGCCCTCCCCAAGGACCACTGGGAGACAAAGTCAGGAATGGCTTCCCTGGGGATTGTGAGTACCCACACGGCTCTTCCTGTGCTTCCTCTACCCGCATAGTTCACTTGGCTGTCTACATTTATCTCAGCTCCAGGCAAGGCCAAATCCCTCTCTTGTGATCTGGATATTCAGGTTCCCCAGTGAGGATGTGTGCTTGGGGGTGAACATTCCCCCTCACACTTTGCACACTCACTGGTTTTCAGAGGTCTCACAGAGCCTGCAGTGGCAAGCTGCTTCCTTCAGTGATTCTCTTGGCTTTTCTGACATGTTCCTGTGGTAGTTCTTGGAACAAAACTTCACGATGTGAATCCCCATATGCTGCTCTGTCCATCCCAGGGAGAGCTATAAGTTAGTCCCACTTACTATCTACCATTTTTCCAGAGAAGGTTCTAGTGGCCATTCTTGCACTGCTAGAAAGAAATACCTGGTATCGGATAATTTATAAAGAAAAGAGGTTTAATTGGCTTGCAGTTCTGCATGCTATACAGGAAGCATAGCGGTATCTGCTTCTGGGGAAGTTTCAAGAAGCTTCGAATCATCATGGAAGGCAGAGGGGGAGTAGGCATGTCACATGGGGAGCAACAGAGACAGCAAGATGCCATAGACTTTTAAACAGTCAGACCTCATAAGTTACCACTATCGCAAGAACAGCACCAAAAGGATGGTGGTAAACTATTTATGAGAAATCCACACCGATGATTTCATCATTTCCCACCACTCCCAACCTCCAATACTGGAGATTAAAATTCAGCATGAGATTTGAGTGAGAACACATATCCAAACTATATCACCCCATCCCTAAGAAAAAATTCTTAAAAATAAAATAAAGTAAGATTCTTTAATAAGTCTATTTGACACTGGATTGTTTTGCTTACCTATGATTATATATAGTTCTAAATGAAAAACAAAATTCAACGAGTATTTTTTTTAAAGTACATGTAAATCTTTTCCAAAAAGCTGAGGTGTATATTTTCCTTCTTTCCTTCCTTTTTTTTTTTTTTTTTTTGAGACAGTGTTTTACTCCATCACCCAGGCTAGATAACAGTGCAAGATCACAGATCACTACAGCCTTGACGTCCCAAGCTCAGGTGATCCTCAGCCTTCCTGGTATCTGGGATTACAGAAGTGTGCCACGATGCCTTGATAATTTTTGGAGTTTTTGTTTTTAGAGATGGAATTTCACCGTGTTGCCCAGGCTGGTCTCAGACTCCTGGGCTCAAGCAATCCACCTTTCTTGGCCACCCTAAGTGCTGGGATTACAGGCGCGAGCCACTGCACTCAGCACATTTACATGTTTTTGTTGTTAATTTTTGAAAATTTTACTTTTCTGGACAACATATTTTGGCTCATTTGCTAAAGTAATAACATTTCTCAACAGAATATTTTACAGAATCTGTGTCAATTAAATGCCATTTTGGTCTGAGTTGTAGTATATAAAGTCATTTCTTTAGTCTGACATGATTAATTTCACATTTACTAATTATCCTTTCCTCTTTCTGCATCCTCCATCTGCATCTTTCTTGCTACATCTTCCTATCTCCGTATCCCTCTTACCACCCTCTTTTATAGCACAGCATACACACATATTTTTATGGCACTTGAAAACTAAGTTAAAGTCCTATGTTAATATTATTATATATTATAAAAAGGGGTTTCTTTGTTAAAAAAGTATCAAAACTGATTAACACTAATAGATTCTATTCATAAAAATATCTCTTCTGTGTTGGAAGGTGGATTAATTTTTTTTATTGCTGCATAACAAATTGTCTCAAACTTAGCAGCTGATAGCATTATCTCCTGGTTTCCATGGGTCAGGAGGCAAGGCACAGCTTAGCTTGGTCATCTTCTCAGGGTCTCACAAGGTTGCAGTCAAAATGAGAGCCAACATGTATGCTCATCTGAAGGCTCAGCTGAGGAAGAATGAACTTCCACCCTCATTTGGGTTATTAGTAGAAGGTATGATGATGCAATTTAGGGCCCTATCTTTACTGGTTGCCATATGGGGGCCACCCTCGGGTCCCAGAATTGCCCATGATTAATAGACTCCACTGAAATTACTTGTTATGTGGGCCTCTTCAACATAACCATAAATTCATTCAGCCCACAAGGGAAGACTTTGTTTCTAGTCTGCTATGACAGGATCTTATAAAATACAATGCAATCACAGGAGTGACATGCTATCACCTTTCCCATATTCTATCAGTCAGAATTAAGATACAAGTCTCTCCCATGCTCAAGGGGAGTTTATCAGCCAATGTTCTCCAGAGACAATAGAACATACACGAGATTTACCTTAAGGATTAGCTCAAAAAATGGTGTGGGTTTCTAAACCTGAAACCCATAGGTAGTTTGATGAGCTGGAAACTCAGGCAGAAGTTGAAGCTTCAGTCTTGAAGTAGAATTTTTTTCTTCTCTGAGACATCTCAGCTTTTTGTTCTCAACACATTCAGCTGATTGAACAAAACCAACTCATGTTGTCCACAGTAATCTCCTTTACTCAAAGGTAACTAATTATAAACGTTAACCACATCTACAAAATACCTTTATAGCAATATCTAGATTGATGTTTGGTTAAGTAGTGGGGCACTATAGCTTAGACACATAAATCTAATCATCACAGGGAGGGAATTACAAAAATCAGTGAACACTAGGACATAGAAAATCACTGGGATCTCCTTGGAGCCCAGGAAGGTATTTCGTTGTTTTATTTATTTTTAAATTTTTTTGGTGGTTGTCTCTAATATTTATTTGTCTGGCTATAAAAGTAATATGTGAGGAACATTGGATTTGGGGAGAATGTTTTGAACCCTAGCTGTCACATGCCATCTGCAGGATCTAGACCGGTGACTTTTCAGAACTGCCATTTCTTCATCTGGTAGGCAGGCTAGTGAGCCCTGTCTTGCTCACTCCACATATGGCAGTGCATATGAAATGAGATCACAGAGGGGAAGCACTTGGCAAGCTGGAAGGTGCTGACAAATGGAAGGGGTTAATGTCACCACCCTCAGCTGAGGTAGTACCAAGGTCCAAGCTCCTGCCCCTCCCCCTCTCCTAGCCCCTAAATACACACACGAATGGAGGGCCACTTGCAGCCTTGGTTTGATGGAGTTGGGGGAGAGGCCACACACATCTTCCACAAGCCTGGCCAGATGGCGCCTCACTGGGGCCCTTTCAGAATCGGGCGTCGACTGTTGCCAGCTGTGTGAGGATGTCCTCCAACTCAAGTCCATCCTCTGGGAAACGCTCAGAGAAGGATCGGATGAGGTCAGCAGCTGAGGCCTCGTATTCCAGAAGCTGCACATCTGAGCCTTCAAGGCGAATGTTGGGCTGAACGATGAGCTTCCGAGATTCCTTATGCAGCAGCACCATGTCCCTGAGGGTGAGGAAGCCCTCGGGCGGGCACATCAGTGACAGCTGCATACCTGTCGTACAGGGCGCATCCTCCAGCTGCATTCCCTGTGGACTTCAGCACCTGAAGTCTCCCCAGGAAGCGCTCTAGGGCAGGCTGGCCCACAGGCTGGATTTTGCTGTGGTCGAGACGGACCCGGGCATCCGGGCACCCGTCGGAGCCTGCGGTGGGAGTGATGGTACCAAGTTCCTCGCCAGCCTCTAGTAAGACTCTCAGGATCACAATCCGGGCCTGCATATGGGCCTGCCGCCAGTTGGAGGCCTCAGGTGTGTAGAACTCCAGAGCGAGGAGCCCAGCCTGAGCCATGTTGAGCCAGTACAGGCACATCACCTCCTCCGCGTGAACCCCCTCAAAGCCAGAGATCTCCAGCACTTGTGGGTGGAGACAGAGGTAGAGGCCCATGCTCTCAGCCCGGCACTCTTTGTAGCTGGAGGCGGTGGTGCTGAACTTGCAATCCCAGGTCTTCCCGCTCCATACCAGCTCTGAATCTGCTCTCCCATCTCTGGGTTGATCACTGTCTCCTGGTCAAAGTTGAATGCTCCTTTTTCAACCTGCACGAAGAGCTTGCAGCTGCCATAGCCCAGCAGCTCATGCAGGTCCAACTGCACATCGAAGGAGGGCCCCTTGCAGAGGATGTACAGGTCCTTGTCATTCTCCTCCAGAACGGTGAGCTGCTCCCACTGCATGGCGCGGGCCACAGCCAGCACTTTCCCCAGTGACACGTTCTTAAAGCCTGCCTTCTGTCTCAGGTCATTGTAGTTGGAGATGTTGATGCCGGCAGGGATGCCAGAGCCAGCGAAGGTGAGAACATCCAGGGAGGTGAAGTCGGGGGTGAGGAACTTGTCTTTCTCCAAGGCTGGGGGCCAGGGCAACTCCTTCAGCAGCTGCTCTGCCCCGGCCACCAGCCGCTCAGACTTGGCACTCATGGCCTTATTCACCACAGCTACGAAGCCTTCAAATTCTCCTCGGGAACGAAAGGAGTCATGGTAGCTCTAGATGAACCCGATATAACTCTCCACGATGTGGCCTTCGTCCTGGATCCAGAAGCGGGAGCCCCTGTTGTGGGCCTCTGTGGAGTCCTGGGTGAAGCGCTCTATGTACTGGGCCAGCATCTACTCCTGGTGGCTATTGGCTGCATACTCCTTGGCTTTCTCCAGCTGCTCCACCACCTTCTGGAGGATGGGCACGTAGTTCCCCCGGGTCACCTGGAAAGGACTTTCCGGAATTCGTAGCTCTTCAGCTTGGAAGTCATGTCGGAGTCCAGGGAAGGCTCTGTGCCGAGCACGGAAGCCAGCCGCACCTCGTAGTGGGGCTTCACTTCTCTGTCGACCTCTTTGAAGAGCCGGGTGTTGTAGGCACTGAGGTTCTGTTCTGTGAGTGACGAAAGTCTTGGGCCAGTTTGCCATCTTCCATGGTACAATGCCCATAGAAATAGGTGGTGATTCCCTGATGGGGAAGAGAGGGGAACATGGGAAAGAGGAGTTGCCGAGGTCAGGGCTGCACGGACCTCATCCTCCCAGCGTAATTTTTTTTTTAATCAGATAAGTAATGTATAGATAATAATGTCCACTGATGGACAACGTTTTTTCTCTGTCAATTTCTACTAAAAAATCAGGATGTACTTCTTTTAAATAATGAACTGGTAATTCTGAGGATAAACAAGAAATCCATGAGTAAGCTCTTTGTTATTATTATTATTTTAACAAGCAGATCTCGAATCAGAATGTCAGAATGTTAGAAGTAGTCTACCTCCACACCACCATCTCTCATACCAATGAGCAAAAGCACAAAAGTAACTGAAAAAGGTTGTTTCATGTGACATCTATTTCCAAAGATTTTTTTCTTTCTATTTTCTTTCCATATACTTTTTTACTTCTGAGAATAATTTGGGTGTGTTTACATTTGTGTGTATAGGAGAGTGTGCTTGTAACAGAAAAGGAACTTACATGGTGGCAGGTGAAATAATTTGCAACAGTGTGTCAGCCTGAAGTCAAAGTCAGTGAGGAAACCCTCAAATCCTTGGTCTTAGTGCAATGTCGGAGCCTGTAGCTCAAGGTCACAAAATATGAGTAAGGCTCCAAGATCACAGAAAAAATTTTCCTTAGATTAATGGCAGGGCTGTGCCAAAGATGACTGAAGGGGCACCCTCTGGCATGCTCATTTATCAGGGATTTACTTGTTGCCTAATGATAGCAATAACAGTTTGTATCTGACAGACACAACTGGATATGTGCAGTGAGAAACTATATTTGAACACAAATTATACTGGATCTATATAATTTCCTCTTCTATTGCTTGACCTGTCATCAGAGTCTCTCTCAGTGAAGTTTGTGCTTTCATCTTTTAAAGAAAAAACAATTGTTTTTGGAAAAAAATGGTTACACAATTGAAAACTATATCAAATTAACTGTTTTAATTCTTCTGCATTCTTTAGAAGATATTTTTATATGTATATGCAATTTCTAGTTTGCTATAATCATAGCAGAGATACTAGAATTAATTTTTTCATTTAAATTCTTACTGTAAACACTGTGTTCTGAATTTCCTCATAATATTGTTCTATGTTTCTGCTGATACAAAAATTTCATTTGAAATATATGAAATACTGATAAACTAAATAAATTTGCTTTTGCTTATAATCTCACCACCATGCTATAATTACTATTAGCAATATTTTTGTATGATCTTTTTGTGACAAATAAGTATATACTCAAGTATATTCACATATATATATGTGCATGTTCATACACATGCAATGATATTTTATTGGATTTTTCCTTTTCTTTTTTGCTTAATGCTGTATTGTGAAAGTAGTTATGTCATTAATTTTTCTCTTAAAGTATTACTTTAAATGACTGCAGATTACTTTATTGCATAGTTTTATTTACAACCAACAACCTGAAGTTGAATATTTAATTTTTTTCAATTTTTTAGCATATTGAAGAGTATCGTGATGAAGATTTTATTGTACCTCTGTTCTTAATCCTGAAAATAAATTCTTGATAATAACATTTCCTGGTCAAAGCATATGCACATTTGATAATTTAATTATGTGTATTGCAATTTCAAGGATCATCACTAAAACAAAAGGAATAAAATACATAAATTCTGCACAAGAAAAGGAGAATGAGATGATTAAAATAATCAGCCATAAAAGTTAAAAAACAAGAGAAAAGCAGGCTAGAATATGTATATTAACAAATACCAAAAGAGGCAGATGTAAGTCTAAATATATTAAAACTTACATTGAATATGAAAGGCCCAAATTCTCCAGTTAAATGACAATATTAGCAGATTGAAAAAAAAAACTAAATATATGCTACTTATGTAAGTCATTTAAAATAGAATGGCTGAAAGTAAAAACATAGAAAAATATATACCATGTAAACCCTAATAAAATAATGCTAGTGCAAATATTTTAATATAAAAACTTTAAATTATAAAACTAGATACAAAAGGATTACTCTCTAATTATAAAAGGTTCCATATGTCACATAGCCATACAATTTTACCTGTGTATGCTACTTAATAGCATTGCCTAAAATACTTACAAAAGAAAATAATTATACAAAATTATACTACCTTTCGCAGTAAATGTTAGGAGAGGCAACAACAACAAAATCAATAAAGACATTCATTGATCAACCTAAGTAACAAAATTGGTCTAATGAAAGACTCAGATCCCTGTATTTAACATTTATAAATAGGCATTTTTTCAATATACACAGATTGTTTAAAACTATTGATAATATAGTGGCCATAAAGGATATCTCCATTAATTTTAATGAACAGATTTCATTATAAAATATGTCCCCTGATCACAATTTAATTAAGCTAATAAAAATAGATAACCCAAAATACCCCAGTATATTTGAGAATTAAGAAATAAATATTTTATTACTTTTAAAGAGCATCTTGTAATAGAATTGACTTTTTCCTCCTGTGGCATCACAGTTTTTTGTTTAGTACATATGTGGATTAATGTTATCACCATCATAGTGAAATACAAAGCAGTTAAATCTACCTCCAAAGTCTCCCTGTTCCATCTCTCACAACTCCTGACAACCTCTGACTGCTTCTGAGTTCTTACAGATTTGGCTTTTCAAGAATGACATATAAATGGAATCACATAGTATGTAACGTCTTGAGATTGACTTCTTTTACACAGCATAATGCTTTTAAGATTCATCCAAAGTCTTGTGTATTTCAAAAGCAGATTTCTTTGCCTTGCTGAATAGTATTCTATTGTATGAATACACAAGCCACAATTTGTTTATCTGCCCTTGGAGGACATTTGGATTGTTTCTACTTTTTGGCAATTAGGAATAGTGGACATTTATGTAGAGGTTATTTTGTAAACATAATTTTTCAACTGTTAGGGTAGATATCCAGAAGATGGATTGCAGGGTCATATAGTAATTATACATTTGCCAGTCTAGGAAACTACCAAACCTTTCCAGAAAGATTGTACCATTTTGCATTCCTGTCAGCAATGTTTTGAGAGCTACAATTGTTCTGCATCTTTGACAGCACTTCATATTTTTAGTTTTTCATTTTCTTTTGTTTTTTTAAATGTAAGCCATTCTAATGGTTGTACAATGGAATATCATCATGGTTTCATTTTACATTTATCTGATGGCTATTTATGTTGAACCTCTTCTTTGTCATCCTTATTTCTTCTTTGCTGAAGTGGTTGCTCATGTCTTTCGCTAATTTTTAAATTGGATTGTGTATTTTCTTATTATTGAGTTCTGAATATTCTTTATATACAGTAAATTTCAATTCTTTGTGCATAAGTAAAATGAAAATATTTTCTCATTCTGTGCCTTGTCATTTAAATTTTCTATCGGAGTCTTTCACAGTGCAATAGTTTAGAAAAATTGGTGAAGTTCAGTTGACCATTTTAATCTTTTATGAATTATGGTTTTGATTTTATGTCTAAGAACTCATCAACCAAACCCAAGGTCACATAGATATTCTCCCATGTCCCTTCCAAACATTTTACATTTTTGCAATTTAGTTTTAGATTTTTGAATCAATTTCTTTTATATTTTTTGACATAATTTCTATATAAGGTGTAAAGTTTAGAGTGAGATTCATTTCTTTTGCCTTTGGATGTCTATTGTTCCAATACCATTTGTTGAAAAGACTTTATTATTTATTCATTGAATGGCTTTTTTAACTTTGTCAGATAATCAGCCACATTTGTGCTCTTTCTTTAATCACTGTTGTCTTTCTTTTATCTATGTGTTTATGCCTTCACCACACCACACTGTGAACCCCAAATATCTGAGAGAGATCTCAGTCAATTTATGAAGTTTATTTTGCCAAAGTTAAGGATTCACACCTGGGACGCAGCCTCAGGAGATCCTGACAACATGTGCCCAAGGTAGTCTGAGTACAGCTTGGTTTTAAACTTTTTTGTTAAACCTTTTTGTTAAACTCTCTAGCCAAAGGTCCAGGAAACGAAAAACCATAACAAGACTTAAGGTTTAACATGTAATCCTTAAGACATGAGACATCAATCGATACATGTAAGATGAACGTTGGTTCAGTCCGGAAAGGCGGGACAACTTGAAGTGGGGAGGGGGCTTTCAAGTCGTAGGTAGATAAGGGACAAACGGTTGCGTTCTTTTGAGTTTCCAATTTGCCTTTCCAAAGTAGGCAATCAGATAAGCATTTATCTCAGTGAGCAGAGGGGTGACTTGGAATAGAATTAAAGGCAGGTTTACCCTATGCAGTTCCCAGCTTGAACTTGACTTTGCCCTTTAGCTTAGTGATTTTGGGGCCCCAAGATTTATTTTCTTTTCACAACACTGACTTGATTACTGCAGATTTTTAGTAAGTCTTAAAATGGGCAGTATGATTCCTTCAACTTTATTCTTATCTTTCTGAATTCATTTAGCTATTCTAGTTCTTTTGCCTTTCCTTATAAATTTAGAATCAGCTTGTCTATATCTGAAAAAAATTTGCTTAAATTTTGATAGATATTACATTAAATCCATAAAACATTTTGAAAAGAATTAGTATCTTTAACAAATTGGATCTCCAATCAATTAAAATGATAAAATGCTCCTTATATTTAGATATTCATTTGTTTTTTTCATAGGCATTTTGTAATTTTCAGCATCCAGATAGCATACATGTTTTGTGAGAAGTATAACTACACATTTTTTGGAGGTTATTGTATTTATATGAAATTGTATGATATTTCATTTTTAAGTAATTTTTAGATTCTAATTTTACATAGGTAGTGCATAAAGATAAGATTGGTTTTCATGTATTGACCTTGTACTTGAAAACTAGCTAAACCGACTAGTTCTAGGAATTCATTTCTTTATAGATTCGTTGGGATTTTCTACATAGATAATCATGTTGTCTGTGGATGGGCAGTTTTCATTCTTTCTTTATTTTTTCCTAACAAGCATGCTTTTTATTATTTTTTTTTTCTGGGCTTATTTCCCTGGTTA